TCATTTTTTCCTTTGAGCTCCAGATGTTAGTGCAAAGAACCTTGTCCTGGTTCGTTAAGTTTCATTGTTTATTTTTTTCGTTCTTGTTGCTGTTTAGAAAATTCCAACAAATCTCACCGTTTGGAGAAAAAGTAAAGTCTAATTCCAATAAATTGTGCTGTACTTCCTTGCCCCATTTACTATCATAATCTAAGGGAGTAAATTTGGGTGGCACTTGTTCATATTTCCAAAAAAAACAAATGACTGTGGCAGACCTGTGTCCATTATTGTTTTTATCTGTAAAACGAACACCATAATACTGGTAAAGATGACATAATGATGTAACTGATACTCCTCAACAACATTTTTTGGCTGTCCTTAAATTAAAAGCTCTTTTTCTGTAAAATAACTTATAGTGGGTTAGTTCACTATAGTTCTGAACCCCTAAAATGTTTGCCCAAGTTCGTCCAGACGGATAATGTGTCAGAGATATAAAAACGGCAGAGTGATGTGAGCGTGGTAGCAAGACAATTAAACTACAGCTAGATTGCAGTTCTGGCAGTTCTTGAATCCTGGCAGGCACGTATTTGAAATGAAGTGGCGAAAGGCTAGACACAACACACACGTGAGAGTCTGAAACGTGACCTTAGGATCAGCTTGAACGTGAGAAGTTTTCCTTCTATTCTTTCTTTCGCATAATAGGTTTATGTACAGGGCAGAAAATCTAAACTCTGACTGTTTATAGCAGCTAAATGACCTTTTAAAGACTTTAGTTTCATAGATTTCTGTAGATCAGAATAGCAATATGCGTGAAGCCTTTTGTCCACGAATGTGATGATTTCCTGTTATGCTGTAGGTCCTAAACATGACAGTCAAAGTTCTCGTCCCCCAATAACTTTCTTTCAAAACGGAAATAAGAACTTCTCTTTTAACTTCTGGAAAATCAAGCACCTGTTGGGGTGCTTTTTACTTGGATGAGGAGGTGAATATAAAAAATAACACTACATATGCATATTTCATGACCAAATCCTATGGCAAATAGATTTTGAGAGCGAAATAAAATTTTGACATTTTGCTGGTGCAGATACTTTAAACTTTAATAATCTTAGTTTAGATCTGTGCAGACTTGGGCGGTCTTCTTCCCCTTTCATACTTCCGTTTTCCTTGTTAAAGGTTGTGAGAACTTTGTCTGATTGACAGTCTCGGGAAACTTCTGCATCTTCACTGCCTAGACCCAGTCAAGGTAGAAGTCTCTTGTTTTCCTGTAATAAATTATCCCAGCGGTCGCACGGAAGAGCCAGAAACCAACCATCTGCCTTTTGCTCCGAGCATAGCAAGTTAGCAAGAGAGAGAAATATACCAACCAATCTAAGGGCGTTTATTCATGATTACTGCCAGGTGCCAAAAAATCCAGATGGTAAGATTCGTGAAAAAAAGTTGACATAGATATATGAAGCATGTAAATTAAAGTGTGAAAATGGGAGTCCACTTGAGTGAAGATAACAAAATTAAAGAAACAAGAGACAAAGGGTTGATTGTGAGAGAGTGGCGAAAATCGAGCTTAATGATTTACGGCATTGTTTTATTTTTCCAAGTTTGGAATATTATTAACATACTTTAACCAGCAATAGACTGATTGCAAAATAAAAATAACAATTTTCCTTTTATGGGGCTTGACAAGTATTGAACCGTATAAAGTTTAACCACGTACACTGTATACCTTTCTATTAAGACCCAGGGCGGGTAACCTCTATAGTTGGCCTATACAGAGAGGTTCTACCCAAAAGAGGGTACCTTTTTCAGGCTTGAGATAGATGAACGAGTACGACTTTTAAAGGTCAAAGTAGATGAAACGATAGAGAAATCTGTAAATGTGTTTTCAATCGTTACAGGATTTAGGATCTCTTAAAATGGTCACTGGACGAGGTAAAACAGTCAATAATATTATAAGATGCTTTAGAATTTTAACGTTAATGTATCAAAACATTGCAATCAAAGCAGACAACTAATTCACTACAAATACTGTAAACTTAAGCCTATTGGTTTAATGTTTTCAGTCCATCTAAATAAGCCGGACAATGTGCACAGTAGAATTCTACATACTAACCATAAGGGATGTTACTGAGCTTAAAGCCACTTAAGATCTCAATCCATATATAGTAACTCTGTAAGTAACTAACTGTTATGTTATCAGAAATAACATTTTATAAGTATCGACATGTACTTACACACCACCCATTGCCTATCAGTTGATCAGAGTGTGCTTGTAACGGTTGTATACTTCCCAGCTCGCCAACTAAATATTTTAAGATTCCTTTCTAGGGGTTGAAAAGAAAAATGATGATATGCCGGGATACTTTCACCGCAAGTGCAATAGGTGGGACAGTTGTAGACAAATTCCACTAGTGAAAAAGAGGGAGGAGCAGTTGGAAGAAAACGGCAGACAGAAGAGACGGTATGAAAAAAAAGGGCAATGCCTACTGGTTAGATGGAGGCAAAAGAACTGTTGCACGTAAAGTTGGAAATAAAATGGAAGAGGCGTGATCATCACAAGTACTTACTGAGTTTACTGTGTAAATATAACAGATCATGCAACATAGAATAGTAGTTCAAGATATCATATGATATCTTGTCTTCTCTTGTAAAATTCATGTACTTGTTTTGATGTCCACCATTAACCATACACCCACTCCTCTCCTTCATTTGGCTCGAGGCATGATGAGAGAAGGTTTTGTCACTAGACACTAAGCAATGCCTATGGAACAGAAAGTGAGGCACTTATTAAGTAGTGAAAATCAACCAATAAAATTCCAGCTGGTTTGATTTTGAATCTAAGCTGTTGACAATTTTGTATTGACTTGATTGTTGTGTGAGGCAGCAAGGGAAATCTCACAGCAAATACATTTGTTGAGAAAACATTTTGCTCAAGGTGAATGTATATTTTTTAACAATTTCATTTGATTGGCTGTGGAAACAACTTTACTTGAAGAGACTATTTTCAAACCCTCAACCCATTCATTTTACAATCACTTATATTCAACTGTGAGTATGTGAATGACATCATCTGGTACAAACTTAAAAATGAAACTTTAAAAGTGCATTATTATCAATATAAGTTTAGTGGATCTCATGTTCCAGAAAAAAAGACTTGGGCAGTCTTGTTCCCCTTTCATACTTATGTTTTCCTTGTTAAAGGTTGTGAGAACTTTGACTGATTGACAGTCTCGGAAAACTTCGGCATCTTCACTGCCAAGGGAGAAGTCTCTGGTTTTCCTATAATAAATTATCCCACCGTTCACACAGAAAAGCCTGAAAGCCAACCATCTGCCTTTTGCTCCAAGCATAGCGAGTTAGCAAGACAGAAAAATATACCGACCAATCTAAGGGCGTTCATTCATGATTACTGCCAGGTGCCAAAAAATCCAGATGATAAGATTCGTCAAAAAATGTATACATAGATATTAAAAGCATGTACATTCAAGTGTGAAAATAGGACATTCTGACAATTAAATCAAGACTTTTGCTCGGTTAGAGTCCACTTCAGTGAAGATAACAAAATTAAAGAAACAGGAGACAAAGGGTTGAATGTGAGAGAGTGGCGAAAATCGAGCTTAATGATTTACGGCATTGTTTTATATTTCCAAGTTTGGATTATTATTAACATACTTTACCCAGCAATAGACTGATTGCAAATAAAAATAACAATTTTCCTTGTTTGGGGCTTGACAAGTATTGAATTGTATAAAGTTTAACCACTTACACTGTATACCTTTTTAATATGACCCAGGGCGGGTAACCTCTATAGTTGGCCTATACAGAGAGGCTCTACCCAAAGAGGGTACCTTTTCCAGGCTTGAGATAGATGAACGAGTACGAATTTCCAAGGTCAAAGTAGATGACAGGGTAGAGAAATCTGTCAATGTGTTTTCAATTGTTACAGGATTAAGGATCTCTTAAAATGGTCACTGGACAAGGTAAAACAGTCAATAATATTATGAGATGCTTTAGAATTTTAAAATTGCAATCAAAATAGACAAATCATTTACTACAAATACTATAAACTTAAGCTTATTGGTTTAATGTTTTCAGTCCATCTAAATAAGCCGGACAATGTGCATAGTAGAATTCTACATACTAACCATAAGGGATGTTACTGAGCTTAAAGCCACTTAAGATCTCAATCCATATATAGTAACTCTATAATTAACTAACTGTTACGTTATCACAAATTAAATTTTATAAGTATCTACATGTACTTACACACCACCCATTGCCTTTCAGTTGATCAGAGTGTGCTTGTAACGGTTTTATACTTCCCAGCTCGCCAACTAAATATTTTAAGATTCCTTTCTAGGGGTTGAAAGGAAAAATGATGATATGCAGCGATACTTTCACCGCAAGTGTAATAGGTGGGACAGTTGCAGACAAATCCTGCTAATGAAAAAGAGGGAGGAACAGTTGGAAAAAAACGGCAGACAGAAGATACGGTATGAAAAAAAGGACAATGCGTACTGGTTAGATGGAGGCAAAAAAATGCCAAACCAACACTAACTTCAAAAACCAACAATGGCTGGAGATTGTTTACACTCAAATCCCAGCAACTATCTCTCAGACAAAAGAAACTTCTATTCCAAGCCCACAACCTGTACAAAATAAAAGAACGCAACTCTGCCCTTATCTTCCAACCTCAATGTCATCTACACACCATATCTTACAAAGATAAAAACACAACCATCACCACCTCAACTACTTCATCCTCAAACCAGACACCAGCCAGTCTGCAAGAAGACATCGCCACTTTAAACTCCCATTACAGCCACCTGCAACTACGCATTAAAGCCATCACACAAAGCCAACTAACCTATCATTCCAAGCATACCTCCTTCCCCAAGTCATCGAATCAGCTCAACGAAGGCCACCAACTCCATCAACAACTAAACAAAATCAATATTGCCCACAGACTCTTCCTCTACCTTTTCCAGACAAGAAGCACCTTTTCTTCCTGAAACACCACTCATATC